GGTATTTCCATTGGCACCATTGTCACCGTCTGAATGCATTGTCACTGTCACAAGGTATTTCCATTGTCACCATTATCACCGTCTGAATGCATTGTTACTGTCACAAGGTATTTCCATTGTCACCATTGTCACCGTATGAACGCATTGTCATGATCACAAGTGAATTCTAGCGTCATTGTCAAAAATCTATTCAATCGTTATCGTCACGAATCGAACGAAACACATTGGCATTGTCATGTAATCAACAGAGCACACGTCGTTTGTTTAGCGCTGCCATCGTTTGCATGTGTTAAAAGTTTCTTAACAGAAGGCATATACATATCTATGTCTATGAGTGCGTGTGTGTGACTTTTGGTGCCACCTTATTTTCAGAATCTAACGTTAATAAACTAGTGAACATGTATCACAGATGGATATAATAACTGTTTATAAAATAAACGTGACATTATACGTACGAGGTTAAAACAGTGCACGCACATCCGTAGCCATTGTTTAGCATTAGCATCTAATTTCTCATTCGACATTTTCTTCACCGCAATAAATTGTTCACCAATCTATGTATTATATTTTGTACCGGATTCATATTTGATAAATAGCTAGGCGACAGTACTACCTAGCTCTACTTCCTGATATACAGTATAAAAACCCGCGAGTAAGAACCTAAAATTTGCCAGTTATACCCCCTCTATACAATTAAGAACCTGTTTAGCCTAAAATTTGAAACAGGTTCTTATTTTCTAAAATCTATATAAAACGATGTGTACACTTAATTGTGCGAATAAGATAGATCAACATTTTGAATCATTTTTCGGAGACACAGGTGCCTTAATTTATCACTCCAATTTAATACACTGTAAATGCCAATGTTGAAAATCAAATAGAATTGTTATTGTTGCAATTACACATAAATACTGTATATATATATTGTTTATATCTCCATGGCTACACATCAGCATATGGAAGAGTCTGTAAAATGATGAACATTCGAACCAGGGGAACCATACCGTATGAAAAACATTTGGGAATTTTTTTTAGAAAATAAGAACCTAAATAGCCTCAATTTGTGCTATTTTATAAAGTAGCATTTATGTAAGAATCTGTTTAGGCTAACTTGGGAAAATGCAGGTTTTTACTCTACTAGCAATTGCATTACAGACACGAGTTGTGAAGTAAGACTACTGGATAACCGATGAATCCCTACGGCAGTGGATCTAAACCTTTTTTGAGTCATGGACCCCTTTGAGAATCTGGTGAAAGCTACGGACCCCTCCCCAGAAACATGCACATAAACACAACATTTTGCCTACAATGGGGTTCACGGACCCCCTGAAGCCCATCCACGGACCCCAAGGGGATCCATGGACGACAGGCTAAGAACCCCTGCCCTATGGTTTAACCTGTATACCATGGTCACCTACGGGAAGCACGAAGTGCTGGTTACATACAGGTGACCGTTATATAGAAGTGACCGTTATATGCAGGTGACCGTTACATACAGGTGACCGTTATATAGAAGTGACCGTTATATGCAGGTGACCGTTACATACAGGTGACCGTTATATAGAAGTGACCGTTATATGCAGGTGACCGTTACATACAGGTGATCGCTACATACATGTGACCGTTATATAGAAGTGTATTTTGATGTATAACGGCACACGGGGTAAAGGTGACCTGTCCTCTACGGAAAGTCGTCCATTGTATAGAGGTGCCGACTGACAGAGTTTGGAAAGCCTAACCTCTATATCGTCAATATTCACGACTACTACGTGTTTAAAATGTCGTGAAATTTTTGCGCTAAACATCACTTCAACATTTTATTTTTATATATATATTGGTATACGCTCTAGCTTCCTGGAAAGGTATGACCATGAAAATCACCAGGTTGATAAAGTTATGGTTAAGGTTAGGGATATGGTTAAGGTTAGGGTTAGGGTTAAAGGTAGGGATTGGATTTGGTTAGGGTTAGGGTTTGGGTTATGGTCATGGTTAGAGTTAGAGTTAGGGTTAGAGTTAGTGTTAGGGTTGAGGTTTAAGGTTAGGGTTAGGGTATAGGGTTAGAGTTAATTTTTGGGTTAGGGTTAGGGATAGGGACAGGGTTAGGGTTTGGATTTGGTTAGGGTTAGGGTTAGGGTTTGGATTTGGTTAGGGTTAGGGATACCAGTCAGGTAAGTAGAAACACCAGGTAATCATTGCCCTAACCCTCTACCAACAGGCGCTCATGGTCAATCTACACTACGTATACATTCCACATCGATCGATATCAAACCTAATTCATAATCAATTCCATTTGCATTGCGACATATTAAAATTTTAGTTTGGAAATATATCTTCGCGTCGCTCGTTAGAAAAAATCGAAATCCGCTGAACAATAAAAAAAACTACGTCCTCGGCTGACGTGATAGTGTATCAGCAGAGTATCAGCGACGATGAAACTAACGTGGCTCCCCCTGCATGGGACAATTTGCCGACAAAACCTTCGCGGCCTTAGCACTGACGAAAATCTACAGCAAGTGAAGCATAAATATATATTTATATATATATATATATATATATATTAAAAGTACATAATAGAGAATAATCTCTATTAGTATTTATGTACTCTTGATATATATATATATATATATATATATATATATATATATATGAGGTGAGCAGCATTGGCTATGGATAAAACATTATTAAAATAGGTGTTGGAAGAAAGAACTGAGTTGCCAATTGCCATGCAAGAATTGTGATCTATTTTCCGGCGTTCCCATAGCGACAAAGGTCACGACCTTCTTGCTTGCCGGATATGTGAGGTGGGAGGGCGTGAACAGATCGGCGGGTAGAGGGGGGTTAGGGGAGGAAGGGACGGGGAAGAAAGGGGGCGGAGGAAGAAGGGGAAGAGGGTGTAGAAGGAGGAGCGCCAGAGGAAGGGGTGTGGGAAGAGGAGCGGGGGAGGAAGGCTCGTCGCACACATTTGCTGTTGATTTCCGTCTCTGACGTCACACTGTCGTCTGTAACCCAGGAAGCTGTGCTGATTTCGTCATGACAACCACGGCGGCGAAGGCGGCCATCTTTTAATTCCACTTGTCTTCGGAGTTTTCGATCGACCTCCACAGACATCCCGTGCACATCAGACCAGTGAGCTGTGGAAGAGAGAGACACAGAGATTAAGAGAGAGAGATAGAGGAAAAAAGTCTTAGAGACAGAGGGAGACAGAGAGAGAAATAAAAAGAGCGAGAGAGAGAGAGAGAGAGAGAGAGAGAGAGAGAGAGAGAGAGAGAGAGAGAGAGAGAGAGAGAGAGAGAGAGAGAGAGAGAGAGAGAACTCACTCTCTCTCTCTCTCTCTCTCTCTCTCTTCCAGCGTGGATTCTTATCCATCTGAAGAAGTGTCGTCTGCTTCGTCGCTACAAACAGAAGTGCGCACGCTGCAATGAGTTTGCTCCGCCTTGGTTCCAGCAACAAGAAATCGCTGACATGATCCTATTCGCCATAGAACGGTACGCGCGTTCGAGCTTTCCTCGCCGCGAGAGACCCCGCGAGCCGCCGGCGTGCCAAGGCATTCTCTCGCTTTGATTTCACACGAGATCCCGTGAGAGGGCATCTCGCTCTTGCCTTCGTTTGTCTTTCCTCTGAAAACCGATGTCGGATGGAATCGGAAATTCTGCCATTTTATTTTATTTACTGGTTAGCATTTAACCGTATTACCGTACCTAGCTCTTTTCATTGTTTTAATCTTCTTTCTCTCTTTTATCTCCTTAATTTCTTTTAAGTGGCAATATATTTATCGTGTTTTGTAGGTGCAAGCGACTCATGAGCGAAGACGGTGACCCTGGTGAACGACCCCCAAGGTCGGAGGTCAAGGATCAGCCGCATCACAGGCGTGACCTGTGTGAGATGTGTCTAGACCGTGGTGTGCCGTGCTGGGAACGCGCCCGCCCTCGCGGCACGCGCTCTAAAAAAGCGCAGCCAATCCGGCCGCTACCAACCATACGGACAACAACGGAGGTTCGCGAGGGGCACAGCAGATAGAGAGAGATAGTGACAGAGAGAAAGAGAGAAAGACAGAGAGAGAGACAGAGAGACAGAGACTGATTGACAGAGAGATAGAGAGACAGAGAGACAGAGAGATAAAGAGCGACAGAGAGACAGAGAGACAGAGAGGCAGAGAGACAGACACACAGACACACAGAGAGACAGGGATACAGAGAAACCAAGAGACAAAGAGATAAGAGAGACAGGGAGACAGAGAGACAAAGAGACAGAGACACAGAGACAGAGAGACACAGAGACAGAGAGTAAGAGAGACAGAGATACAGTCACGAAAGGAATGCATTGTTATTGACAGACAGAGAGACTGATTGACAGAGAGACACAGAGAGACAGAAATACACAGAGATACAGAGCAACAGAGAGCCAGAAAGACCGAGAGACAGAGAGACAGAGACAAAGAGACAGAGACAGAGACAGAGACACAGAGACAGAGAGTAAGAGAGACAGAGATACAGTCACGAATGCAATGCATTGTTATTGTCATGAACTTGTCCCATTAATCTGTTCATGGCTTGCCACGAGAAACTACCATTGTCACCATTGTCACAGTCTGAATGCATTGTCACTGTCACAAGGTATTTCCATTGTCACCATTATCACCGTCTGAATGCATTGTCACTGTCACAAGGTATTTCCATTGTCACCATT